ATACTTGTCTCGTTTTTTTATTAAACGAAAAACTTGTGGGATCCGCTTGTATCAGCGTCTGCTACCATTAGCTGGCTTTGGTTTATATCGTGATTTGGAGTTGGAGCCGCCTAGGTCCTGTAGCTTACGTTAATTAAATGTATTCATACTGGTTTAACAGAGATCAAGAGTGGCGTATAAACCTCAAAAGATTTCATATTCGAATAGGTGTCAAGCACAATTGAAATACCTTAATAACAAGTTGATCATTAATTTTCAAAGTAACTGCGTTTTACAGTTATTCGGAAGAAACCTAATCATGCTTTGTCAGTTCAGAGTAAAAGGCAGTTTGTCGAAATGAATAGTTTGTCGATCCTCACGTTTTTATAATGTACAGGATACTTTATGCCTTTAAGGAGATGGTATGTGGTTTTACTACGTTATCGAAGTACTGAGATTTATCAATGTACCTTTGCAGTAGTAGCGTTTGATCACCTGTCGACGCGTATCTCAAATGGGCCAAAACATTTTCAACAGTAAGCGAGGAAAGCAAGCAGATTGTGATTGTAAATTTTGACTTGATTTCAACAGATCAACGCAGGCATTCAGTTCTTTGTTTCCGCAAATATTACTTTAAATATAACTAAGCTATCGGCATACTAGTATTCGATACATATTCAGTATTTAAATAGTTCGTTCTACGTTATCATATAGAATGGAATATCGATGATACAAGCTCAAAATAGTTAATTATTCCGTAAGACCATAATCGCGCACTTGATATGTGCTGAGTTCTGTTTGGTCTGGTGACCATGAGCGATGTACGTAGGCACAATAAGGAATAACTAATATTCTTTTAGATCCATTTAATATCCAAAATGTAGAAATGCAGCGTGTATTAATTAAAAAAAAAGACTTTCTAATAATATCTATTTTGCATTTTTAGACGATGGAACGGTCGGGTTCTCACGCCCCACCACCTTTGGCAACGGCAGCGGTTGTTGACTTGAAAAGCAGTGGGGCAAGTTCGCTACTTAGAAAAGTTCACTTCCTCCAGCAGAGTGACATGAGTACGAAGCCATCTTTGAACCGCGGCTCTCTTAAAGTACGAGTAGTAGTTTCTTCCGTTGTGTCGTTTGTATGTTTCAGATCCAGCCATTTAAAATAACCATGGAATGGCACTCCAAAACTTTAGTTCTAATAAAAAAAAGTCCTTTATTGAAACATGCGCTGTAAATTAGTTATATATAGATAACGTTTACCGATAAATAAAAAAACGTTTACGATAAATAGATAACGTTTTTCAATATGATGAGATAGCTTGTACGCGAAGCAGTTTGACGAATTATACTACTACAACATAACTGGTCATGGTCTTACTGGAAATTTTTTTTATTTTTAGTTGCCAGTAGTAGTCATTCCTTCGGAGCTGACATTCATTGCCGACGACCCTTCAACGCACAAACAGACGGTGACTATCTATAACTTTTACGATTTTTACATCAAATATAAGGTCTTTTGTACCTCCCCGTCAAAGTATCAGATGCCGGATTGGAATGGGAACATAAGCCCAAGCGCATGTAAGGATGTCACCATCCGGATGACGGAAATCACTGAAGCAAATGTCGGAGTGACCGATAAGTTCCGTATCGCAATTTCGGAATTCGCTTCGTCAGGTAATTTGAATGTTGTCTAAAAAGAAAAGTAACTGTTGGAAATATTTTTAGAAAAACCATCAGTGTTCATTGGAAGATAAACAGTACTTATTTATTGCGTGCCTATGAAAGTTATGGTGTGAAGAATAAAAGCTCTACAGTTCCGAAATCTCGAGGCCTGCTGTCAGCCTAATACCAATCCTGATGCGAATCCGATTATATTTGGCTTCGAAGAATGGTACATTTTTGTTATTTTATTTTTACTCGCTGAATGGTGGTATAATTCAATTGTCTCAAACCAAAGAATCGCTGGGATTACTTACAGACTTCAAAACGCATAGCGTAGCATGTATAAACATAAAGTCCGCTGACTCTGAAATACTAAGGTATCTGATACAGAAGAGCAATTGGTGCATATAGAATATGGTATAATCTATCCGACCAACAAACAGTACATGCAAAAGTCTGCATACGGCTAAGCTCGGTAACTCTTTCATGACTGCAGGATAATATTATTATTTGTTGTTTTTGCATAGTCGAACAGAGGCAGGGGGAACGCGAGATCCGCTCGATGTTGGTTGCGTCTAAAGGATCGCTTGCGGAAGTACATGAGGCACACAAGAATATTCGCCAACCGTTGTGGCATCCTTCTGCTAAGCAGACATTAACTGCTTCCACGAGCATGAAGCCAACTGAACGACTGGAGGATCGCCGCCTTGATCAAGGTCAGAAAAAGAAAAAATGACCACGGTCCATCAATTCTATCATTCAAAGATTCACTGTACCTCGGACAAGTGTGGCTAAGTATCAGCGTAGGAGCAGCATCAGAAATCCTTGGTTTGTCTAACACGCTCTTTCCGTACGACGGTCGTCGCTCGCCGACAACTGTTCGATGGGCTTTTAGGAAGCTTTCAAATATTGATAGCTTCTATAGGCTATATAAAAATCCTTTACACTATGTTGTTATTGTTAATATAATTTATTGCAAACCGTGTGTATTGTATGTACACGTTTTTTGACTTAGGACAAGGACCGAGTTATTTCGTGTTGCTTGTGTTGGGGGTGTGCATTGCGATGCTGCTAATGCCTAACTCGGAAGCGGAATGTAGTTCACGCGATGACAACTCGTGGGTCGCCACCTACATCACGTTGACGCACAACCAGAAGTTAATCGCCGCTTACGTTCTTGGACTCATAACAATGATTCTGTTTCGTTCCTGCTAGGTAGGGCACATTTTTGCGTTTTCAATGGACGCACTCATTTTGTCAATGGCAGAAACTATTCCTCGTAAAAGATAAAGCAATGACAATATTGTATTTTTATTGGTAATACCAACTGGCCTGTGGTTTATACTCTAGGGTACATAAAAAATATGAGAAATACAGCTTTCATAGAAAAGCAGCCAAAAAGCTAGCTACCTAATTTAGCAACTCAGGGGAATATTATTAAATATCATGTTTTATCATCATCATCATTATGATACAGAAGACACTAGATAAAAACGAATTGCAGCAACCTTTAGTAGATAAAAAAGAAAGCTAACTATGAACAGGTTCGTGGTGTATTTAGTCATGTACATTGCGGTCTCTACCATTAGAAGTTGCTGCTAATATTATGGAAGTGTTTGCTATCTCCAGCTACTTGATACTTAGATGAAGAAAACCATGCATATGTGATATCCCGTGTCATCAGTTGCAAAATATTCGCCAAACAGAGGCGTCCGCCTTACAGTGGAGATCGGGTCTGATGCGAGCTGGTAAATGTCTGCTCTCACCTACAGTTAACACTGCCTGTACAAGGAAAAATCTCTGCAATGAACAATAGCTCGTTACTAAACATAAACTAAATGCAATAACAGGAGCGGTACTACTATTAGTGACAGAGAAGAATAGAAAGAAAATATAATACGAAAAGCAAATATATGGATAGTTTTTCAGATTTCTGATGCGTAAGATTTATGTAATAACATGCACCTAATCCCAGGCTAAAGTTGTGATGGTCTGAGCTTGAGTAAGTAGCTTCGTGTCTGTGAGTAGCTGTGTGTGAGCGCGCGATTTTCGAATGGACGCATTATGTACATAATAGAACTATTATGATGATTGAAAATAAAATTAAAATGATGTTATTTAATTCACTGTGCCTATTTATATATTTATATATAACAATAATGAAAGTGAAAGAAGACAAGGTGGTTGGTGAAAATCATTGTACTCATTAATGTAAACATTTTCTGCAATGTCGATTAATATAAGGTATTTATTTATAATTACGTTGATTTAATGCTATCTTATTTTACATGCTTGAGCGCAGTCAGGGAAGAAGTAATTTAGTATTAGAGAGGCTGTAGCTAGTGCACGCAAGCGGCGCTAGCCAAAAGAATCAAATAGTCTACTGATGTCTTAAGATGAAAATGATCCCTCTCAGGCGATAAGCACTTTCATAACAAAATACATTGACAATTTTCAATTTCATATATTATTACATGAGAAATGCTTAGCGGTAAGCGACATTGAACAGCATAATTATGATATTCTGCAAATGACTGCTAAATTACAAAAAAAAATTGAACCATTTTTTATGTTTGAAATAACAATATATGTACGAGCTTTAATTGCTTTACCACGATGAAGTTAAACATACAAGCAGTAGGTACATTAACAAATGACATCTTAGTTCAAAAGCATATGTTCCCATTAACAAATTTAATGAGGTCGCTGACTAATTAGAATGTTTTAACCTTACCTTAACACTTTAACAGACAACGGTGCTACAGTGGGGGCACCGTTTTTTTCATTATGCCCACAACTTTAATAAGGCGTAGAACTCTATATGAGTTAGTCAAACTAGATATCATGTATATGAAATAGCAGCAAATAAAAGCTTTTATTTTTAACTCTGCCTGCTAGGCGTCTCTTAGGCACTCAAGATGAGCGTACACCCTAGCAAAAACATGAGTCACAGCTATCCTTCTTGAGGACTAAAAATTGTTAAGAACGAAGGCAAACGATTACATCATCTTGTACAAACAGATACGAGCTTCACGGTGATGGTTTAAGTAGTCGTCAATTATGCTCGCACATGTGATACATATAGAGTGGTCCGGAAATAAGATTCTTAAAACTGCTAGTGGTCGGCTTAAAAAATTCTTCTAGCGGTTCAATGATTATATGTATATCTACGTATCTTTTAGATATATGACTGGAAAGCGGGGGTGACACGATTAGATGTACATTAAGATCGTAAACGTTTATTTTAGCAGGCTCAAATGAGCGACTGAAAATTAAAGTGGATTGGTGAGATGTATTTCGGTATTTAAACCAATTTCCCATTAAATTATCGAAAATGTCGTCTGGCTTCGCTCTTGGGATCCGTTCGCATAAAATTTCCAACTTATCTGTATGGAAACGAAGATATAACATGTCCACGTCTTTGATAAATTTAATCACATTTGGCTGTTTTTTTATCTTTATTATTATCCATCCTATTTTTCTTATATTCTACACCGGGTAT